TATGCTCTTTGGTTTCACTATTAGGATGACAGGAAAAACATAGGACTACAGCTAGTAAAGTTAAAACCTCACCGTACAGTACGAAATACACATTTAAACATAATTTATAATTTATAATGAAAAAAACCAATTGTATTATATTATGGCTTTCAAAATCAGAAGAATTGGCTTTAAAAGTTTTTTCTATTCTTTTATAGGGTGTTGGCCAAAACCTTGTATGAGAGTTAAACATACACACATACACAATAAATGTGATAGATCTTGGGGACAAACCACCGTGAAATTCCCAGAGAACCTTTAAATAAGTGACAAATCTAAAACTCTAAAATTACTGACATAGTACTCCAAAAAGCAGCATTTAACAATGAACTCATGATAGGCAAACAAATTCCATCCACAATGGTGACTTTAAAAAAGACAGAAGTCCTAGTTACCAGCATTACTTGAGAGTACTTTTACCAAATATAGCACAGTCAATAATAGTGTGACAAGCCACTCAATTGTATTTAAGGGTAAAAGAGAAAGAAGGTAGAGAAAATTTATCTGCCAGCTGTTCTTGGTTCCCTTCCTAATATTCTGACATTCACGGGTATAAAAAGAGCAAGCTCTCTCAATACCCTTCTCTGCTGCAGTTATGGCTCTTTTAATGTTCAAGAAGCAGCTGTTTAAGAAAGTTAGTCACTGATTTAAAGACCAACTTAAATTTATTTTAGTAAATAGAAACTTCTAGTTTGTATTTAAATGTTTTAACTAAAAGAAAAGTACATTAATTATTCTAAGGGTCCACTGTTCCTCCATTAACATGTAACAATAATCAATTTATAATCTTTTAAGTTAGTGTTAAAGGATCAAATCAATTTTTATTTAAAAATTACTGCCCTTGATAGTTTTATACACATGAAGTAAGTTCCATTTTATTTTGTACTAATTCCATTAGCTTTTTTTCTGCTTGGTGTTCCATAATTTTAGGTCTACATTAATAGTATACCCAGGATGATGGTGATGCTGATACAATAGGTAGGATCTGACTCTGACAATCACTGATCTAGCTTTCAAGTATTTCCAATGCTATTATGAGGATAGAACTGATTTGCATTTAGAAATTCTCATACAGAACATTAAATGTGGAACCAGAAACTTCTATTTCTTAATTTTTCCACCAAAGAACAAAGAACAACTCCATTCCTTCCTACACATGGTAGTCAAATATCTGGAAAAAAAAAACCCAAAAAACAAAAAAACTCCTTCCCTTTAAACTTATCTTGTACAAAATAAATACTATCAATTTCTTTGACTGCATCTACTCTCTGTAGCACTCAGGGCTTTTATCACTCCAGATGCCTCCCTATGCACACTATAGTTCATAATGCCCCATTAATATGTACCACTTACAATCTAACATAATAATATAAAGGTTTTAGACTGAATGTCAGGCTGCATGTGGTTTATTACACTTCCTAATCAGTAATAGTTCTATAACCACATTAGGTCTTTCAAACAACCATACCCCAGCATTATCCAACTGTCAGTCTATGAAATAATACTAATCTTTGATGAAGTTTTCAGTGATCCAGAGTAAAAGAGAACAGAATAGAGTAGTAATTTTTCCATCAACTAAATATTGGGCAGGGTGGGAGTGAGGGGTTAAATATTAAGGGATGGTGATGGAAGATGGTAGTTGTTTTCCCAAAACAGAGTCACAATTCACAGTATCTCTTAATTTATTGGTCTATGCCCTAGAATACTCAGGTAAAAGGTTCATCTCATCCATCTTCTAATACCATCTAGGTAGCCAAGTTCGTAGAATAATTTCTTTAATTTGCAACAACCAATCATAACCTCCACTCATCACTCTTTTATGGCAGCAAAGCAAAACTCCCAATGGACTTCAGCAAATAAAAGGGTTGAACACTAGTACTTTAACACTAGTTCCTAAGACCTCCTAGTTTCCTTTACCCACTTCCTTACTTACCTTTATAATTCTACATTAACACTCAAACCCAGGCAAATGGACTACATCAAATTAAGAGAGGTTTGAGATGATAAAAACTGAGTATCATTTGTTGCAGTTTAAATTACTGACCAGTATTTGAACTACAAGTAAACTATACCATTTAGGACAGGGGATAACAAACTATGGCCCATGGACCAAATCCAGATGTCTTTTTGTGTAAAGTTTGAGTGAAACAGAGCCACACCCATTCACATACACGGTGCCTACTGCTGCTTTTGTGTTACAACTGGCACAGGTGAGTAGTTGGGACAGAGACCATATGGCCTGCAAACTCCCAAATATTTACTATCTAGCCCTTTACACAAAACATTTGCCAAACTCTAATCTAGGGCAATGAACTATTTACTAGTGAAGAAAAATCTGTGACCTGCAACAGTAATCAGTGACTAATGCAGGACGTACCACCCACACTGGAGTATCTAAATATAAACACTGAATATAAAATCTGAATAGTCCTTTATCCTACTTCTGTATGAAGACTTGTTGCCCAACCAAGACAAAGCATTTACTTACCTGCTCACTGAGCTAATCTTTAACACACATTTCTCAACAATTCACTAGTAGAATAGTGAAGAATCCGTGAATATACTGCTCTGTAATCTATGGTTAAAAAAAAAGTTGCTGCAAATAACTCAAAAGTACATACAGAAGAAACTGTACACAACTACATAATAATTTCCTTTACCTTTTAGATTTCAAATACAAAACACTTTTAAGGCACTTAAAGTAGAAAAGCTTATTATTTAGGTAATAGTTACTGTATTAAATTATGCAAATTAATTTCCCTTTTGTGTTAAAAGAAGACTTTCACTTTTATGTATATAGAGTTGAAGTCAAGGTAAAACTTCTAACCCAATTTAATCATGTAGCATTTTAACATTTAAGTGACACCAGAATCTCTAAAGAATAGTTCCAACATTAAAATACTTTGATATTAGAATGCCCGTAAGAGATCACTTCCACATTTTCCAGATAAGAATGTCTCAATAGAACATGAAATATTTATAGTAAGAGAACTAATCAGTGGCACAGACAGAACTAGAATCCAGTACTTAACTATCAGTTTGGAACTCTTTCTCCTTCATAACTGAGTATGAAAGATATGCTCATATTCTAGGAAAAGGTAAAGTGATAGTGAAATATTCTAGAGTTTTAAATGTACAGTAAACATATTCACAGGGGTATCACCCACTCAGGTTAAGCAATCCTCTTGTGTTTTCTACTAATCAATCAACTACAAAATCACAGAAGGAAAAAAATGAATTCATGGTAAAGCCACTCTTACTAGAACAATCAAAAGTACAACCAATTATTTGCTTGACAAACTGTCAACAATTTAAAAAAAATCAATAGTGAAGAAGGGACAGTATGACAGGTACTCATGTACTGCTAATTTGGTACAAACTTTCTGAAGGGTAATTTGGCCATATTTCATAGTGCCTAAAAAGTTCTCACCATCTAAACCAATTATCCCACTCCCATGAATATATCCTAAAGAACTAGTCTAACATAGAGTTCAAATTTCACATACAAAGATGTCCATCCCCCTATTATTTATAAATGTGAAATACTAGAAACAATCTAATATCCAAAGAGAGAACTGGTTCAATTATGGTATATATTCATACAATAAAATATTAGGCAGCCATTTTTTAAAAATCACATTTTCAAAGACATGGGGGAGTATTTAGGAAGTTAAGTTATAAAACATAGGATATACAACTATATGGTCAATATAATCTCAATTTTGTTATTATGCACACACACAAACACATATACACACTCATACATATAAATAGCATAGACAAAGACTGAGAGGAAATACAAAAAATATTAACAGTGTTATCTCTGGATAGTGAAGTTGCAGATAATTTTTTTTCTCTTCTTTATCCTTTTCAGTATTTTCTAAATTCTCTATAATAATCATGTTATCAGGTTTATACTCAGAAAATAATAAAAATTCACTCTGTAGTCAAGTTTAAAATTTTTATAGTCTATATAATAAATAAGGAATAAATATTTATGGTACTCAAAAGTATACCTAAGTGATGGGAAATAAATCATTAATGTGTACGAGTATAATTTCCACACACGTATAGGTGGGTAAATTTGAATCCAAAACATTATTTTTTCTCAATCCTTGAGTATAGAAAGTTGGTATTTAGTAATTAAGAAATGCAAATCTTTCAATAAAATTGGTGCAAGGCATCTAAAAATTGTGCTATTCGGGCATAACACTGAAGATATAAATGCTCTCCAGTGTAATGTAGATACCCAGTTTTAGACTGAAACAGGTGTAACCTAGTACATGCATGGTGGCCAATAATTAACTAATTAAATTATATATATATAAATATATTTCCCCCCACCCCCCACTCCAAGTGACTAGGAATGGTCTATGCTTTTAAAAAAAGAAATACAACACCATACCATTATTTTAGTTGGAAGAGCCGCACCAAAAATCATGACAAAAAATTTGTAGAACTGTAAGAAAATCCAGTGGTTTTTTTTGTTTTTGTCATTGTTACTGATTACTTGCTAAAAATTCAAATAAGAGAGTCAAATTGCTTAAAAGCACTACAAAAGCATAGCAGTAGTGTATGGTCTGCAATGATTTGAAACCACTAAGAATACTCTTCAATGTCTCCTCATTTGCAGACTACTGCCTATCAAACACGATCTTTGAAGGAAAGGACTACTTCTATGTTCTTTTACCAATCTTGAATTTATATTGTTACAATATAGTAATGACACAAAGTGATGTCACGCACAAAAAGGCAAACTGTTTGTAATTTTAAAAGCTAACTTTAAAATATGATTCTATCCGTGATAAAAAATCACATAAATATTATTGTAAAAAATAAAATACATCCTAACATATTTTTACATGAGCTGAAGTCTACCACTTTTAACATAAAAATTCTGAGATGGAATTAATAAAAAAACAATTTTCTTATGTACCACAGAGCAATAAGTTTAAATCAGACTATTTTGAGTTGTGTAGCCCTTTATTAGCAACTAAAATAGAAGGTATCTGTTGTACAACACGGGTAGTAATTGACTGTAACTGGAGATTTATTATATTCTAATACAGATCATTTATAAATGCAATTTCTTTATTAAAAAGCTTCCACCCTTTTTTTGTTTGTTTGTGTACAATTTGCAAAACTATTCTGAAAGCGGAATATATGTGCACAAGTCTGCAAAGAGTGCAAATTTAGGATATGGTAAATGCTTTACAAGTTACTCTCAAAAAACTTTCCCACAACTGGGCCTTTACATTGCCATCTTTTTTGATCAAAATATTTTGATGCCAACCTTCCTTCCACTGCCCTAAACTATAAAGCATTTTTTAATGAGTTGAAATTAAGGAAGGACTACACCTACTAGAAAAGAAGAGAAGAAAGTTCTATTAGTTTGAGGTTTCAGAATCCCCCCAAACCAGGACCAGTATCTTGGTAAGGGCTAGGCTGGGACCCCGGACAGAGAATGAGTATGTGCAGGTGGCATCCCTGAGGATTCAGAGCTTCAGTGGACCGTGAGTGCTCCCGCTGCATAACTCACTGAACTGTCTTGCCAGTTTCTACACTGGCTTGACTGGGCATAATTCAAAAAGGAAAAGCTCATATTCATTCCATTCTTCTGGAGCTCTGTGATAGCCTAGGGGAAAAAAAAATTAGTTACAACAGACTTCATTTACAAAAGTGAATACTCTTTGAATGTGTTGGTGGCTTCTGTCCACTTCACAGCTGAAGCCTAGATTCTTTTCTCTTGATTTGGAATCTAGATATTCAAGATATCCTCTTGAATATCTTGTCACATCATATCAAATAGGTAAAAGAGAGGACTCCTTATTTCATTCTCTCAAAGAACTTCCACTAATCTAGCTTCTTAATAAGTATCAATCATCTTTCACCCTACCTTTATTATATTTAATAAGGCCACTTTGAGAAAAATATACCTCTCTTTTCTCTAAACCAAATCGGAGCCACTTCTGTCATGAAATACTGGAGTCTCCTCTTTGTCTAAGGTTGACTAAATTCAAAATATATATATAAATTAAGTTCTAGATCTAAGAAGTAAACCAGGATTTTTACTTTAATTGTGGACTGGTTTGTCATTGATTTCATTAATATTTTATTTGATCCAATTCAGACTTTAGGAAATTAGTGTAGCTTACCTAGTTTAAATTTCAAGAATTAGTTTAAGCCCTTAACAGACTTTTCTACCAGTCAATACTGCTTAAGAGAAAACCATTCCTAAAAATCCACAATGCACTATCTTTCAAATCACACCAAAATAACATGGACTTCAACATTCTACCCTACACTATTCTAGACTAACATTGCCCTCTCCATGATTTCCCTGCCTCTCCAAACAATGAATGCATTATTGCTTCCTCCTCTTATTCCTGAGTATATATACTTTCTTCTTTCTTAAAAAGTTTCACTTTTTCTCTCAGGAAAGCCATATCATTTTATTTATCAGAGAAAAAATTACTATCTCTTTCAAAAATCCAGCTACCTGAATCTTTTGCCTCTTACTACTCTTTACAGGAAATATTATTGTTGTAAAGAGAAAAATATATACATGTCATCTGTCTTGTGTTACTAAATTATGAATATCTAAAGCTCAAGAGCAGAATCTTCTGTTTATTTTTTATGGAGTTTAGAACATTAAATAAAGCCAAAAAATTAATAAGGCTACTTATTACCAAAGGTTACTTTGGTTTATATTTGTAAAGAACATATTGGCTGTGAGTCAAGAGAAAAACTAGGTTTCTATTCTAATTTTTTCTATATTTAAAAGAAAGCACTGGCCTGTCTTCCAGTAAAAACTTTTTATTCATGTAACCAAAATAATGGAAATCCAAATTATCTTAAATGTACTAGAAAGAAAATTTACTGTATGTACCTAGAAACAATGCTAATAAGGTAACACAGATGATAACAATTAAGATATTTTGAAACATCACAGGATCAAATGTTAAGAATCAAGGCTTGCTAATGATACTCACATTTAATAACACCCCAATGGGATGTCTTCCACATATAGTATTATGGTATTTCTTCAAGTAATTGCTAAAAGATACGGGGTCTAATTGTTCTATAATACTCATACCCTAAAAAAAGAAGAGAAAAAGAAAATGAAAGAAAAAGAAAAAGGTACACAATTTATTATTTTCTCATTACATTTCAAAACTGTTAGTTAGAGCTAAAAATCATAATTTTTCAATAAAGGAGAAGTAATGAAAATACTTTAAGTACTCCTTGTTAAATACCCTACTCATTCATCAAGGGTAATCTCATTAGAGTCAACTCTAAACAATATGTACACTTTATTAAGAGAAAAGTTCCAGCCTTCAGGTTAGTTTTTTCTGACCTCTTGGTATGTTTCTATAGCACCATCACCAGTTACCACTTAGGTCACAAACATTTCACAATTTTACATTTTACTTATATAAATGTATTTACAAAAGTAAATCTGCTGTGAAAATGTTCATATAAAATCTAAAATTAAATTTGATATATGGCTGGGTTTTTTTTCCCATAATCATAATATTTCTCCTACTACTGGCACAAATGATTAAAAGTTTATTATAATTTAGCTAATTCCATGACATACACTTAAATATTAACAGTGTGCAAGGCATTCTGAATTATCAGTATGTGATAAAAACATACCACAAACTAAGACAAAAGCTAACATATTTTAATTAATTTAAAGCTCATAAGAGATATATGCTTAAGCAAAATAGGCCTGGGAACATTTTTTAAAGGATCTTTTTATCTCTCTATATTTTTCAATTATAATGCATTATTTTTAAGATTTTAATTCAGAATCAAAAATCTTAATACTATTAAGTATTAATAAACCACTATGATTTGGACACTTATTCACCCTAAATTCCATACTCTTCAAAAGCATTTAAATAATGTGTTCATAGTACAATAATACAGAGCAATTAAATCAAGCAAATAAATCACTGATTCTCACTCATTCATTCACCAATTACCTTACCTTGTTTTCAATTCAGGTAAAATATTTTACATTTGTGTTCAACAGACAGGACTAACATACTCTGAGCGAAATGTAAATGGTGGTTTAACAAGGGAATCAACTGCTATATTTTGTGTGGTTTTTAAATTATATTTCAACACGTTTTAAAACAATCACAGTGGAAAAAGCACCTAGAGTAATAAGATGATCACTCACTCATCTGAAAAATGATAGTAATCAGTAGGTGACACACAAATAGTGCAATAGCAACATCAAAATTTAATTTTATAAAGAACCTGCTTACAGAGTATTCAAGTCATTCATAAACATCATCACAACTTCCTGCAAATACATCTGAAAGATAGTTGTGTGTGTGTAATCAACTTTCAATTGATTGCACATTCAATTAGCCACTCTCAGATTCATCCACAAGCCAGTGTTTAACGCTAAGCTGTTTTCCCATACAAACTAGGAGGCTTCCAGGTCAATAGTCTTCAGTGACATATGGTACAAGTTCAGAGAAATATGAACAAAAAATTAAAATGTAAGATAAATAATTAGTATCATAATGCTGGTACAAAGAAAATGACACAATATATTTCCAAACCAAGTAGTAACGCAGAGATGGAGCTACAAATCTCTTCCATACATATGGATAATCAAGATATAACTTCCTAAAGATGAAGAAACTGAAGCATGAAAAAGGTTAAAAGCTTGCCTCTAAATTTCTAATCTGAGGCTCTTCTTACTGACTACTCTGCTTCATATAGTGTAAGAGACATACAAGCAATTCTTTAAATACTCTCACATAGTTGTAATTGGTACACACATTTTAAGAGAACTTCTATTGTTTCTGGATGAAGTTGGGACAGCTTACCTTAAATAGAATTCTACTCATTAATAAATTATGTAACACTGAGGTTCTGATGTATGTTTTAATATTAAAATCTTAATGTACATTTTGAATGAACTTATCACATTTATACATTGACATGAAGAATTCAAAGAGAAGAAAACTAATGCTCAAATTTGTTAAAGACAAAGAATTCAAAATGGCTGGCCAAGAAGTTTCATAGAGAAAGATGTAAAATAAGGTACACTGTTAAATAAAGTGTTCAAAATTAAGATATAATGGTTAAATTTAAAAGGGAAAAGAAAAAATTGAGATGATAGAAACTAAGGGATTAAATTTAAACTTTTAATTCCCTAAAGTGTGTTATGTACCTACTAGGGCCAGAATCAATTCCATTACAATCAATTCTCTGACAAATAAAAATAATGAAAGGGTATGCACTTTTATAAAGGGATACAGAGGAAAAAATAAGGCTTTTCTCAATAGTGAAAGTCTCCAACTGGAAAAGTCACAAAGTATTGCAAACAACAGCAATAATGATAATGAAAAAGAGGACATCCATTAAGTAATACAGAACATGGGCAAATATACTTTTGTATATATTTGTATTTTGATGCTAACAATTTTTAAATTACTGTTACTAAAATTCCAGGAAGATGAAAATGCTAATTTGATACTACTGCCAAAATTCCCAGAAGATAAAGAAAGAAAGTGCTTCTCAAATATGTTTAATCTTCTATTCCTTAAAATACAAGAAGATACGATCAGTGAATCCGAAGTCCAGGCTATGAAAATCTTGCCTAGGGCCTAATACATTGAGAATCTCTTCACATGAACTTAAATCTAATATGAAGTATTAAAGATCTAAGATACAAAGCAAACATCATAAACTCCAAAAGCCTGTACCCATCCATATTGGTTTCTGAGAAATTCAGCAGCTTCAGCAAGAAATCCTCAGATTGAAAGCTAACTCCCTACCTTGAGGGGACAAGGGCAGAGGGAATCTATCATTATGACTCTCCAAGTAATGAGAAATCCCTGTAATGTCAAATCCCAAGTGGCAATCCTAAACTGAATAGAGAGTTTTAACTGACAAAGCTGCAAATTCAGGACTCTGATAAGGCAACAAAGATCTTCCGTTTTAGGGAAGGGGGGTGATGGGCATGGAGGAGAGCACTTGTGGGGATGAACACTGGGTATTATATGGAAACCAATTTGACAACAAACTATTAAAAAAATAATAAAAAAATAAAAATAAAAATGCCATTCTGATGTAAAAAAAAATCTTTCCTTTTTAAAAAGTTTATCTATATACAATAAAGTATTTAACTTAAATTAAAAATTTTTAATGTTTGTCTGTTTTTGAGAGAGAGACAGAGAGGCAGAGCATGAGCGAGGGAGGGGCAGAGACATAATCTGAAGCAGGCTCCAGGCTCTGGGCTGTCAGCAAAGAGTCCAACATGGGGCTCAAACTCATGAGCTGGGATATCATGACCTGAGCCAAACTCGGACGCTTAACTGACTGAGCCACCCAAGTGTCCCAAATTTAATTTCATTTTAAATATTATCACCTAGAAGCAATCTCCCTCTAAAATAACAAACACAAAAAAGGAGTAAAACGTTTTTAGAGGACTTTAAGACATAAGAACTAAAACCATGTCTTTTTATTACTATGAACACATAATCACCAACTGATCAAGTTACTAGGACTGTGGTCTCATTTTCTAAAGTAAGGATATATATTTATGTTAGAAAATTGGGTATACATTTAGGGAGGCAAGGTGGGAAAAGGAAATATTCTGTTTTCTGTAAGAGGCAACAAGATAAAAATCTTAGAGTGAAAGAAATTTTATGGGGGGAAAAATCACCCTAAAGACAGCAGTGTTAAGAAGCAAGTACTAATAAATAGCTATCTTAAAAGACAATATTATAAAACCTTATGCCAAAGAGTACTAAAGAAACTACTGGCCTAAGTTCAAGAAAGAATATTAGTAGACAAATATGAACAATTTCACTTTCAAAAGAGTGGGAAGAAAGAAAAGTAGCTCAAGTTCAAATTAAATGAAGCGACTACTAATAAATTTGGAAGGAAAATAACATTACAAAGATGACTACCAAAGACACTTTCAGATTCTCTCTGCCAAACCATAAATAATTTAGCAATGTCCATAATGAAACATTGGTCTACATCAAAAGTGATACAGAAAAAAAATAACGTGATTATGTGACATATATAAAATATATTAAGTATGTAATTTTATCGTTAATTTTCCTAGTAAATAATTCCAAAGTTCACAAAAATCAATGTCTTAAAGTATATTCTGCTTTGGTCACAATAATTACTGAAATTGCAAAGTACTAACTACCAAAAACATAATCAGGAGCCACTACATCTCTTGTAACTAGTTACTTATTTTTTTCCCAATTACAACATTTGGAAGATCCAGTGTATTTTCCTATATATTTTTCTTTATGTATTTTTTTCACATAATTCAATTCCAAAATATTCAAATGCTTAGCGATATAATTATTTTGCAATATGAGGAAAAGCTGTTTTTTTTTGTTTTTGGAACCTAGAAACACTTTTACTTACTTTAGTAACTACATGTAATAAGATTTTCCTGATAACAAAAAAAGAGCCAAAACTTAATTAACACACTAATTTTGAACAGATTATACATAGGGGCGCCTGGGTGGCTCAGTCGGTTAAACTCTGACTTCAGCTCAGGTCATGTTCTCACACTTCGTGAGTTTGAGCCCCGCATCAGGCTCTGTGCTGACAGCTAGCTCAGAGCCTGGAACCTGCTTCAGATTCTGCGTCTCCTCCTCTCTCTGCCCCTCCCCTGGTCATGCTCTGTGTCTCTCTGTCTCTCAATAATAAATAAACATTAAAAAAAATTTTTTTTAAAGAACGGTTATACCTAAAATTTTATAGTTTTTCATTTTATCAAACTTTCAAAATGCATTAATAATTACAATTCAGAATTCCTAACACTTGTTAATACTTATATAGAGAACCATCCAACTGTATTTGCTCTCAAAAGATTGCATATATAGGGGCGCCTGGGTGGCTTAGTCGGTTAAGCGTCCGACTTTCGCTTAGGTCATGATCTCACAGTTCTTGGGTTCGAGCCCCGCGTCGGGCTCTGTGCTGACTGCCAGCTCAGAGCCTGGAGCCTATTTCAGAGTCTGTACCTCCCTCTCTCTCTGATCCTCCCATGCTCACGCTGTCTCTCTCTCTCTCTCCTAGAAATAAAAAAACAAAAAAC